CTGCAAATCTTATCTCTTGTAGTTTTCTTTTTCTTCCTTTATTTTTATTTTTATTTTTATTTTTGGAACAGACTAATTGATTGAAATTTTATAAGATAGAGGGGTATGAAAAAACAATAAAAATTTAAACCTTAATCATATAAGTGAGAAAGTGCTTTTTTGCTAATAGTTTGTCTAATTATTCTATAGGCTTTTCTCATTTTATCTCTTGATGTTTAATTATTGAAATTTTATCTCATTTTATCTCTTTACATAGGGACCCTATTTTCAAAATGCTTGTATAAAAAGAAGTGCTATGCAGGAAGAATCCAATCAGCCTTTCCTCCTACATTAATATCTTTTTCCCATATGATATATTGGTAGAAAATGTCCGTTATGCGTTGAGGTCAATTTCCTATTTTTAATAGATTAAATTTTTAATTTGATCTTTAAATTATTATATGAATTTTTGATTTGGTGTTTAAATTAAAAAAATATTTGATTTAATCTTTGAATTATTGTAGGAATCCCAATTTAATCCTTATTATTGATCAATTTATCTTAAGTTGATTTTTTTATATAAAAAATAATTGACATATGTCATTATTAATGTGATACGTGATTATTAAGTAACTATTTTTTATTGTTAAGTAATTATTTTTTATCATTAAATAATAGACACATTAATTATTTTTTTAATGGAAGGATTAACTTGAGACTATATCAAAACCAAAAACTTGAATGGTAGACGCGAGAATGAGAGGGAGAGTGAGAGATAGGCAGACGGATAAACAGAGAACTAAGGTTCGACAGACGGCACAGAGTTGGGAGTTTGTTGGCAAACAGAGATCAGTGGAAAGGCAGAATGGTATAGGAACGAAAGGGAAGAGCCAGAGGGAGTTTGTTCCTTGGGGATATGACAGGAGCATATACAACCAGGCAGTGGCGTACTTTTTCACCAATTTTCCTGAGGATTGGAGCCATGCAGAAATGTGGGGAACCTTCAAGAAATTCGGCAGGGTCCTTGCAATCTATAGTCCACCAAGGAAGGACAGATCTGGGAAGCGCTTTGGGTTTGTGCGTTTCCTGGATGTCAGAAATGAATGGGAATTGGAAAGACATCTGGACCAAATAAGGATCGGCAAATACAAGCTGTGGGTGAACAAGGCAAAATTTAGTAGGGAAGACTCCATGAAGAAGCAATTGTCGAGAGAAGACATAGGGGTTGATAAGTCAAGAAAGGCATCTTATGCTGAAGTACAGAAAGGCATCTTATGCTGAAGTACAGAAAGGCATCTTATGCTGAAGTACTAAAAGGCATCTTATGCTGAAGTACTGAAAGGAGCAACAGGAACTGGGGCAGATCTAGAACAGAGACAAACTTCCAGGCTCGGGTTAGGAAAGGAGCAGGTTTGGCAAGTAAGAAATAAGGAAGAAGGTTCTGGGTTGGTTTTCAACACTAAGAAGGAAGATCAAACTTGGCTCGAAGGTTGCTATATTGGCACAACATATTCAGTAGAGGCAATACGGAACTTGCAGGAAAAGTTCTATATGGAAGGGCTCTTGGACTGCAAATATAAAGAGGAGTTGAAGGATGTTGTAGAGTTGGGCAAAGATTGGCTAAGTCAGTGGTTTCAGGAGGTCAGACCATGGTCACCGAATATAATCGCAAGCGAAAGGTTCGTTTGGTTGAGATGTCAAGGAGCTCCTGTGCAAGCTTGGGGGGAAGAATTCTTTGCAACTATTGCTGGCATTTGGGGGAAATATATATGCTTAGACGATAGCACAAGCTGACAGAAAAGATTTGATACTGGAAGATTCCTCATTTCAACATCTGCAATGGAGTTTATTTCAAAGAAACTCCAAATAGAGGTGGATGGCAGGCCAGTGAATTTGAAGATAATTGAAGAAGAATCAGCAAATGGCATTTTCAATATGAAAACAGACTTCAAACCGTGCTTTGCATCAAACTTTGAAGAGGAAGATGATGAATCATGGTCTATGGGATATGCAGATGAGGAAGCCATGGCAGATGAACCAGATGAAGTAAAGCAAATTGTCTTCTCAAGTGACAGTACTCACAAGAAAGATGATGACGTGGCAGCAAAAGATGCAGTGGTGGATGAATCATCAGTAAATCTTCTTGTCCATATGAATGTTGTGTGTCAGGCTTTTGAATCAAACTTTGGGGGTACAAAAGAAAGTACCTACCAGCCACCTAGAAGCATGGGAAATGAACCAGGAGCAGGGGGGATTGTAGCTGACAGCTTGTTGGAGACGCAAGTGATGACTTGCAGGGGCGGGAGAAAGGATTTAAAAGGGGGACTTTGTGTTGAAAATGGGCATGAGAAGTTAAGTATTCAAAATGGGCTGGATGAGGAAAGCCTTGCACCTCTTTACAATTCAAACAGGCCCACAGAAAATATAAATCCAAGATTTGATGGAGGCACTTGTGAAGTCGGTGAGGAAGCCCACTCTATTGAGAACCAGGCCAAGATGGATAAAAAGGAAGACTCTGGAAGAGGACAAAGAGGAACGTTGAACAGAGAATCGCCTTTCAAATCTGATGGAGGAGTGGAAAGAGATTCAGAAAAATCCTTTTGGGAAGGACTTGAAAGTGATTCAGGAAGGCTTGAAGAATGGATGGGAAGGGGAAAGAGTTGTGGTCTGAAGAAAAGAAAGGGTAGAAAGGCTCGATCTTGTGCATATGTGTATATAAGTGCCCCTATTATTCTCCGACATGCAGCGCGAAATGGAGGGAGGAAGAAACAGCACAAAAAGCCAGGTTTGGAAGATAAAATTCCAATTTTTTTGGGCAAAGACAACAAGGTGGCAGGGGAATCAATTGGAGATAGTGAAATAGCAAATTGCAACAGAGACAGATTGAAGCAAGCGGAATTGGGTGGGGCAGCGAAAATATGGAATTTAGCCAAGAAAATTGGGGTGGTGGCTATGGGCAACGAGGGTGAGGTTCTGCAACAGCTGGAAGAGATGGAACAAAGGGACAAGAAAGGATGGAAAATAGAGGCAAATATGCATGCAGTTAGCGGGAGGGAAGGTAACACTAAATCCCAATGATTTTATTATCATTAAATGCTAGAGGATTGGGGGCAGATGGGAAGAAGAGGGAATTGAGGGAATTGTTAATAAAAGAGAAAGTGGAGTTTGTGGCAATTCAAGAATCAAAACTTGAGCATGTAGATAAAAAGCTATGTCGAAGCATTTGGGGTTTTGAGAACATGGATTGGATTGCAAAACAAGCAGAAGGACAATCTGGTGGGCTTATAAGCATTTGGAATTCTGATGTCTTTAGGAAGCATAAGAATTTTGAAGGTGACGGTTATATTGCGGTATTTGGGTTTTGGGGGCTTGAAGGGACACCTGTGAATATTGTGAATGTTTATGCACCATGTGAGATGCAAGGCAAAAGGAGGTTATGGGAAGATTTGAAAAGGCTGATCCATGAACAAAAGGGCAACTTGTGTGTTATGGGAGATTTTAATGCAATCAAGTGCAAGGAAGAATTTGCTGGAAGCAGGAGACAACAGTGTGAACTAAAGGAATTTGATGAATTCATACTAGAAACTGAGTTGCAAGATCTGCCACTAATAAGGAGGAAGTTCACTTGCTATCACTCAAATAGAAATTCTATGAGCAGATTAGACAGATTTCTCTTAAGTGAGGAATGGCTGTTGAATTGGGGGGAAGTTAAACAATGGGGGTTAAAAAGATCAATCTCAGACCATTGTCCTATTCTGTTGAAAGATGAAAAGATTGATTGGGGACCAAAACCATTCAAAGTATTTGATGCCTGGTTTGATCAACCTGATTTCCAAGAGTCTATAACTACAACATGGAGGACATTCTTAATAGTTCAAGGAAGGAGAAGCTTTATTTTGAAAGAAAAACTCAAGAAGTTAAAAGCTTTTTTGAAGAACCAAAGCAAGAATATCATGCTAGAAGTAGATAACAGAATCAATCTTGCCAAGGATATAAGGAAGATAGACTTGATTGGTGAATCACAGCAACTATCTGAGATAGAGAAGGATATCAGGAAGAACAACCAGTTAGAACTCTGGAACAGTTTGAAGACCAAAGAGAGGATGTGGAGACAAAAAGCTAGAAAAGAGTGGATTAAAGATGGAGATGAAAACACACGCTTCTTTCACAAATGCGGAAAAGGAAGGTGGAGGAGAAATGAGATCAACAGTATATGGATTGATGACAACAATTTCCAAGGAGTTGACAAGATTAAAGAAGAAATAGCTACACACTTTGAGAAGATGTTCATGGAGGAAGATTGGGTAAGACTGACTCTACAAGGCTTGCATTTCAAACAACTATCAGTAGAACAAAATGAGGCATTGACAGCTCAGTTTGAGGAGGAAGAGGTCAGAAGGGTTATTTGGGAGTGTGATAGCTCCAAAGCACCAGGCTCAGATGGCTTTAACTTCAATTTCATCAAGAGGATGTGGGATGTGATGAAAGAGGATATTTTAGGCTTCGTCCATGAATTCCATGAATTTGGGAAGCTGAACAAAGGGCTAAACACTTCTTTTTTAGTACTCATCCCAAAGACAGAAAACCCCCAAAAAATTGATGAATTCAGGCCAATCTCATTAATCCACTCTATGTATAAAATAATTGCCAAGTTACTAGCAAATAGACTTCGGCAAGTAATGGATGGCTTGATAGGAGAACAGCAGATGGCTTTTTTAAGTGGAAGACAACTGAGCGAGGGTGTGGTGATTGCCAATGAGGTTTTGGATGAAGCAAAAAGGAAGAAACTGAAGACCTTTGCTTTTAAAGTAGATTTTGAAAAAGCTTACGACAAGGTTTCATGGAACTTTTTAGAATTCATGATGATGAGTATGGGGTTTCATGAACAGTGGAGAAGGTGGATTATGGAGTGTCTTCAATCAAGCTCAGTGTCAGTACTAGCAAATGGAAGTGCTACAAGGCAGTTTCAAGTTCAACGGGGGCTCAGACAGGGAGATCCACTTTCCCTGTTTATATTCCTAATCGTGGCAGAAGGTTTGAATGGCTTAATTTAGTCGGCTGTTTCTCAGCAATTGTTCAAAGGGGTGAAGGTCGGGAGCAATGATTTTACCATTTCCCATCTACAGTTTGCCGATGATATGATCCTCTTTGGTCACGCAACAGAAGAAAATGTGTGGGTTGCTAAAAGCATCATGAGAGCATTTGAGTTCGTCTCTGGCTTAAAGATAAATTTCAGAAAGAGCATGTTGGTAGGGTTAAATGTTTATGAGGAATGGCTCTGCAAGATGGCATATGTACTCAATTGTAGAAGAGGTGCGACCCCTTTCAAATACTTGGGGATACCAATCGGAGGCAGTCCAAGGAACTTGGCTTTTTGGAAGCCACTTGTGGAAACTTTTAGAAAAAAGCTGTCTACATGGAAAGGTCATTATTTATCTCTCGGAGGCCGCATAACTCTTATCAATTATGTGCTATCTAGTCTACCTGTTTTTCTCATGTCTGTCTATCTTTTGCCAAAAGGTATTATTTATCTTATCGACAAAATTAGGAGGGGCTTTTTATGGGGAGGTTGTGAGGGAGGTAAAAAGATTAACTGGGTAAAGTGGGATCATGTTTGTACTAGTAAATCAAGGGGGGGATTAGGCATAAAAAATCTCAAAAAATTTAATATGGCACTGTTGGGCAAGTGGTGGGATAAACTTGCAAATAGGGGGAATTGTTTGTGGAAGAGGGTCATTATGGAGAAATACGGAAATGCTGGTGGAAATTGGATTAGTTGGATGAGCGAGGGTAAAGGGGTAGGTTCAATTTGGTGGAGGGATGTGTGTAAATTAAATGGACTAGAAATAGATAGAACGGGTTGGCTGGAAGAAGGGCTTAGGTGCAAATTAGGGGAGGGGAATCAAGTGCAATTCTGGACTGATAAATGGCTGGGACAAGAATCTCTTGCTGATAAATATCCTAGACTTTTTATGTTATCAACAGGTAAAAAAGCTAGAGTATGTCAAATGGGCACTTGGATGGAAGGCTCTTGGTCCTGGAGATTAAATTGGAGACACAACTTGCTGTCATGGGAGGTAGAACAAAAGCAAGAACTTGAGTCAACATTGTTGCCCACTTTAGTTATACAAGGAAAGACAGACACTTGGGTGTGGAGTTGCAGCAATGAAGGCAAATACTCAGCGAAGATAGCATACTTGGCTTTAAATATAGAAGTACCAACAACAGACAGCTTCTTCAAATCATTGTGGAACTCCAATGCACCAAGTAAGACTAAAGCTTTCCTTTGGCAATTATATCTTGACAGGATCCCAACAAGATTAAACCTATGGAAAAGAGGGATTTTGGAGAGTATAGGACACTGTACTTGCGGGTTATGTGGGTTGAATGTGGAAAGCTCTAGTCATTTATTTTTTCATTGTGATATAGTATACGCAATGTGGATGAAATGTTTAGCATGGTGGGGGATGCCTTCAGCTATACCATGGAATTGTAACCAAGCCTTAAACCTACTGTGCAATTTGGATACAACCAGCAGACCAAGCATTGGATGGAGGACCGTTTGGAATGCATGCATCTGATCAATTTGGCTAGCATGTAATGAAAAAGTCTTTAAGGATGGCCAAATGGATGGTGAAAAATTATTTGAATTAGTGTAGCTGAGATCATTCCATTGGATTAAAGGGAAGTTGGACAAATGCTACTTCAGTTTCTATGAATGGTCTTGGGAACCAAGATTATGCATGAAGTCAACAACAAGGAAACAGAAGCCGCCCCAAAATCACGAGTGAGAGATGGCAGGGCCCTAGTGGGTATACACATTTCTTCTTGCATTTCACGTAAGAGTGTTCTGATGGTTCATTAAGGCTTCATTGAGCAGCTATTGACTATAGCTTTTTTATCTACTGTTAATCTAGTGGAGTAAGTAAGATGTAGTCAAGAGATGCTCAGTGTATGAAATGTTTCTCATGACCAGTATAGTGATTGATAAAGTTTTTGCATCAGAAGGCAGAAAGTTCGACACGGGTAAAGTGCCGACACACTGGATATGGTGTCGACACTATATTGCATGCACCAACTCTACAACACCGATGTGGTGTTAGCACATATTTCAGGGGTCGATACCATGTGGAAGGGTTTGAAATTGTATGACTTTCAAATTGTCAAGCTGATGGGTTGGGTACCCCTTGTATTCCATTTATTAATAAATAAAATAATATTTTTTGCTGTTAAAAAAAAAAAAACTTGAGACTATATCAATAAATAGTGGAGACAAGGCATTCCGTACAATAATTTAAAGATTAAATTAGAGATTTAACTTTTTTTTACTATAATTTATTATCGTGTTGCTAATTAAAATTATAATTATGATAGATTCAAATCCTAGTCTTCCATTAACTTTATTCATTTACATCAAAATATTTCTAGGTTTTTGGGTTGATTTAGACCGAATGATTATATAAAGATGGGTCTTAATGTGAAGCTGGGTCTTAATTATTTTGTACGTGGCCAAATCCTCAAACTTGATGGGACTACTCAGGCAACGGCGATATCATGAGAAGTAACTATTACCTCATAACTTTTTCTACGTGATAATGATGCAATTCTTTATATTTATGAGAAATTAAATATGTAGATATCTAAATCCTATTATTCAGGTGCATTGAACTGTTCATTTTTGTTAAAGTTTCAATTGTAATAATAGTCAAATTATTCTTTGCACATTTCTCATGTTCGAAAAAAAAATGCAGATATCTCTCTCTTTCATTTGCCAAATTATTTTCTTTCTACTTTTTGTTTTTTCTGTGAAATAATGGCCTAGTCAAATGTAAACACTACTAGGTTCAAACTTGGACTTTGTTGGATTACTTTTTTATCATATGTTAATTTTAATTAAATAAATAAGTGTATTTAATTATAAATAATAGTATAATTATCAATAATTAGATATATATCAATTAATTATACCAATGAATTGTTAGTCTAAATAAAGGAATTCATTTTTTTAATTAAAATTTTAAGTCTTGTAAATGAAAAAGATAAATATTAGGAGGTTTTTTTTTTAATTTTTTTTATAAAATCTGATCTATTTTAATTTTAAATTACTCAAGATTCAATATAATTTCTTGATATTTGAAAATTTAGTGCCAAAAAGAGATATATATCAATTATAAGTTATAAGTTATATATAACACAGGCTTAAACTTGATTTCAACAAATTTTCTTGACTATCAATAAAATATATAGATTGGCTAAAAAACATAGCACAAGAACTCTCAGTTCTTTCCTTACTAATCTTTTCTTCTTTCGTTTTTCCATAGAAGCAAGCTCTGCGGCCACTAAACTAAAGTTTCAAGGAAGCAGGCCAAATTCTTGATTTATATTATACAAAATATTAGGACTAACTTTAATTTACCAAAAAAAGAAAAGAGTAGATTTTCTCCTTTGAGGGAAGCAATGTGCATGCGAATCTCTACAACTAAATCATCAATGTCCCCTGTATATACCTTTTTCATTTCTGTGAAAATTGGAGAAACTGTTCCCTTCTGAATATTCATACTCTACCCTTTTACACCATGCCAAGCAATAAATCGATCTAGTGGGCCATTTCAGATCGACCCTATGCCCAACTTTCGAGTCATTTTTGACACTAGAAACAAACACAGGGATCCTAGAATCCCCACTGTTCAAATTTAGGAGAAGCCAAATTTTTGTTGGATTTTGGTTGATATGGTCACCAGCGGAAATAGCCAAATTTTGATTCACAAAACTCAACGAATCAGTTTCTCGAAGTTTTAACCCTAGAATGGCAAAGTATCACTAGTTGATAGATATATATTGTAGGAAAGTTTCAAAAGCCTTTTGTTTTATGCATCGGTTGCATGCATATATTTAATTACTTTTTTGGTTTTTTCTTCTTTTGTTTCGTGGTTAATTAGTGTTAAGTGGAAAAAATTTCCTATTGAAAAAAATTAAGAAGACATGTGAGTTAATTAAATATAAAAAAGGGTACTCCATATATTATAAATTAAGTTAGATGCAAGTTTTGTATTCATATGTTTAATTTTCAAAATTAGTATCTTGAATTAACATGGCAGTGCACCAAATTAATTGAATTCATCTTTTGGATCAATGTAGGTCATTTACTTGTCATTCGTCTCAAAGTTAAGTAGAAGATTTACAGGAATTACCTCTTCATACTTTTTCTCTTATGCTTCTTTAATTCCCGTCTGAAAATATATAGTTGCAAGGCTAAAATGCTTGTTCTCTAATTTGAGAATCAACTTGACTTATATTTGGTTGACTAAATTGGCCTTTAGTGGGCTAAATATCGACAATTTCCCCCAAAGGTTAATCTTATGGGAATCTAAGCTCAACTAATTACTTAGAAGAGACACAGGCTGCTGATCAAAAGAAAAAAAGAAGATACACATGCTAGTTAGGTCCTTTTCTTGTGGGCCATAAATGCACCAATGGAAAAGGACCAAGAGGCGAAGCGCCAATTTCCAAGAATGCAAAGTGGAGAAGGTAAAGCATGCCAAGTGGATTGGACTGGAAGGAGAAGATGTCTTGGTCTTTTCCTAATTTTGCACCCCAATAATTGTGGCAATATTCGGAAAATTAATCTAACCCCACCACACCAGGCATAAAATACACAAGGCTTTTGTGATGAAGCCAAGAAGGCTTTAAATTAAATTAATTAAAATGCATGTATTCGATTGATGTAAATATATAGAGGAGTGTCTTGCCCAGTTTCGGAACTAGGGATTGAATATCAAGCGGGGACCTGCACTGCTTTCATTCAAATCAACAATTAATCACCTAGCTTTTGCGGATTGCG